GTGTGCCTTGGCATTATTTCATATCATCGTGTTACTCCCCCTTGGAAAGTAGTTTTGCTGTCTCACAGATTTCTGCAGACCCAGAGAGATTGCAGATTTTTAAATAGCTGGAACTCTGCTCCAGACACTTGCAGAAGCAGAAATAATATGCTGCTCTGTGGTTTGTGAGTTAGTCTGTGTTTGTTTGTTTGTCTCGGTGTTGGTGGTGCTACGGCATGTCCTGGCGGAGGCTTGCACCGTCCTCCTCGCTGGCACAAGACGTGCTCCTGAAACAGATGGTGCCGTCTGAGAACATGAACACTGCCATGACCTTGGATGGGACAGGAAGTCTCTCTTTCCCTCATTTCCACTGCTTCCATTTCCTCTTCCTCTTATCCTCTTCGTCATCTCTTCATTCACTGTCTCAATCTAACTTTGACTTTTTTGTATTAATGGACAAAAGAAATTCAGGAACAGCTAATCTTTCCATTACATTTTGAGGGAAACTAATGTATGTTCGAAATTAATATTATTGTTATTATTTTGGCGTGTCACTAAGACTTTTCAAATCATAGTCAGCTGCAAAGAACACAAGACTTTCACCCAGGAGACCAGTTCTTATCCCGTGTGAAAGAAATCTCTAATAAATTGAATTTACATCCATAAATAAGATAAACTCTTTTTAAGATGGACAAATATATTTTACTTAAATCTTTTTGTTCCATTATTGAATTGTTTTAATGTACAATGTTAACATGTTTAAAACTGCGACCATAATCGATTACACATGTTTGTATGAGTTTTAGCTGACATTTTTAGCCAAAGAGCAACCTCAATACACTTACTATACCGTAAACATGCATACGAGAGCAATTTAGTTTAGTATCTCTCCCACACTTCAACATGTTGACTGCAGGGTCAGGGGGTCAACAACTAACCCTCTGATTGGACACTCATTTAACCCCTGAGACACAGCTGACCTATTATCTGTTTTCTTTCAGGAGAAAATAAGTTTGTATCTCAGTAATCCAGATTGCAGTTCAGTACTGGAAGAGACAGGGTGACATTAGCATGTGTATAGCCACTTCAGTGCCATAAATATGCTAAGTTTTAGTGCCCAGCTGTTGATCTGCTAACCCCTGACCACTGGGAGAACCTGTAAGCACGGCTTACCCTCCATGTCTGTCTGTCCACGCCGATTATTACTGCTGGCCGTTAACCCCGCACATGTGACCAACCACCATGAACTTCATCCCCAAATGTCCCAGCAGCTCTGTTTCTGCAACAGCTGTCTGCCTCTGGTTACACCGTCAAGCCGCCCACTCACCTGTCTGCTGCTTACCTGCAAATCACTATTTTATCCTGTAACGTGGTGATCTGTGTGCTTTTTCCTCCGGTTGCCATGTATCTGTCAGTCTGGGCCTCCTTCTGCAGCCTGTCTCCATCTACATAATTTGTTTTGTCTCCCTGCCTGTCACTTTTAACAGGAGGTGATTGACTCGTCTCTCCACGGGGACGCCATCCGTGCACCACTTTTGGAATGACAGGATGACACATTTCCGTCCGTTTCCCGGTGTGATATTTGTATCACTCCGCTCTGTTTTCGCAGCGCCATCCATTTCTCTTTGTGCTGCGGTGATTGCAGCTATCAGTCATGAGTATCCACTGAGTTTTCATTATCTTATGGCGCTCGGTGCATTTATATCTTTTGAGACCTCAGATGCAAGAATCAAGAATTGAATGGGAACACTCAAAACGTCCAGGGGTCAATCTGCACTGTGCTCAGACTGTGGCTTTCTGTGGTGATGCGCATGTGTGTGTGTGTGTGTGTGTGTGTGTGTGTGTGTGTGTGTGTGTGTGTGTGAGATGTTTCAGACTCTAATACTGTTAGTGGGCACAGAAGAGATGAGCTACAGAGGTCATCAAATGAAGAGATTATTACTCCAGACAGACCGTAAGACTGAAAAAAATCCCAGAGAGAGAAGTGAAGCTATTTGTAGAGTTGAGTTCAAGGTCCAACGTGGGCCCGATGCATTCTGCTCTCACATGTACAGTTATTATGAGTCATCATAGGTTTCAAGTAAAAGGTAATACAAATATGGTAAATTATGTTGTTCAGTGGTTCCCCTCACATAAAAAGAATGACCCTATAAGTCAAAAGTTTTACGTATACCATGTTTAATATGCAGTAGCTAAGACGAGCGATGAGAAGCTTGCAGTTGTCATAGTAACGCAATATACTTTGTGGCATGCAGGTTCCCAGATGAATACAGTGTTGAATAGACCAGTGAAATAAAACAAATCACTAAGCTCTGGTTTGAAAGGTTTTGTGGACCAATGATTTACGAAGGAGATTTTATTTTAAATGGAAACAGGAAGTTTTTAGGTAAAAATTAACATTGACTTTTTTCACATATGTGATATTCAACAGAGATAGACATACAGTGATGTCTGAAAGAGCCACACTTTAGTCATGCTGCTCCAACCAGTTAAATAGATACTGCAGCGTTTCTGACATTAAGATAAGATAGTATACAATAAGATGGACCTTTAAATAATCCCCCTAGAGAAATTCACGTGTCAAAGCAGCAATATAGCAGGAAGCAACTGTTATTCTTTTTATTCCTGTGTATATTCCATGTGTTTTATACACATGGAATATACACAGGAATAAAAAGAATAACAGTCAAATACAAATAAAATAAGAATAAACATGTATTAACAGCTTTACTTGAGCTGCTATTACACTCTAATCTAATATTCACTTGTTTTCAATAAGGGCCTCTGAAAGAAGTCATGTTGCTTATGTTTAGGGAAAAGTTGCCTAACATACATCGTAGGCAACAAACACAAAAAGATTATTTCATTCAGTCTTCGATTTTTTTCATTCCATCTTTCCTCTCTATCTCTCTTCACTTTTCTCTACAGACGTAAGAATGGTCAAACGGATATAAACACCAGTTTGTGAGAAAATGACGTGTTTCTTAAAGCATCATTGATTACACTGTACATCCTTGGAATCTCACTCCACTGCTGTCTTTGGGCCCTGCATTTCCTGCATTAAACATATGAACAGCAGGTTGTCTTACTTCAAGAAAGAGTTTGACGTATGGTTTTATGTGCCTTCACTTTTAACATCACTTATAAATACTTTAAAGGCTCTTTGAAGGTTCCTCTGGCGGCTTGACTTCCCAGTAGTCGCTGCTTCTCACTACCATAATCTGTCTGTTACTGTCAGAACATCCCATGCAGGGAATACTGAAGTTTTGCTTACGCTCCCTGTCCCGTTATGCAGTCAGATTGATTACTTTTTGTTGAATCCCAGCAGCTGTGTCTTTTATCCTCCTTATGGTGTCTGTTGCTCCCTCTCCACAGATGAAGAAGGAGAAGCTGATATAGTAAAACCCCATTTTTTATCCTGCCCTAACACTCGAGAGCGTGGAGCCTTTGATTCAGACGCAGCTCAGGATTCTCATCAATCACAGCTCCTTGATTAGTGCAGAGTGCACACACACTGTGTCTTTGAAAGCATAATGATACCGTCCTCCCTTCCCCACCCAGGCTTTACACACTAATGGACTCAGCCACAAGCAATCTCACTGGCTCTTCATGTACAGTAATTGGGTTGTACTGTACTGTATAAGGGGCAGCAGTGATGGCCTTTATACTACTGAACATAAAACTGGTTTCGTTGTAGTAAAAATGCAAACATGTATTTCAGTTACACTGTATTTCCTCTATTTAACAACAGTTGAATGTTCCCGCGTTTGAAATAGTGATCAAAAGAGCGGGAAATGGCATGTGTCGACTGCAGGGCTTTTCCTTTTATCTCTAATTTTATAACTGCATGTGCCCCGTGGGAACCGTTGTCGCCTGTTTGTGATTCTGTGTATTGAAGTGTGTGTTTGTGCGCCTCTGCTACATATTGCTGCAATTTCTCTCATTCTCATGGCAGCAGCGAGTTTATTAGCTTATGCTGGATGAAAGCCAGGTGTGTTTAACTAGGCCGGGCCTCTGTGGCTCTCGGTGAGGAGTCACACATATATCGTCTAACATTAATGACAAAACACCGTCAGGGCCCTGAGGCAGGTGATAATGTTTTAAAACTTTTGTGGTGTTCATATTTTTCTTATTCAGCCAGTGTTCGTGCGTCTGGTGGACCGGCTGCCTTTTTGGGTTTCAATTCAACACAATCAAACTATTTTATGTTAAAACTCAACAGATGTTTACTTCATCCCGATATAAACAGCATATATGGTTAATATTTGCCCTTTTACATTTGTTAGATTACATTAATGAATTAAAGTGCTACTCGTTTTTTTGCCCGCTGACCGGCTGGTCAATCTCATCCTCTTCTTCAAAGTCACTGTCAGACTCAGAATTCTCAGAAATGTGATCCTCAGATTCTGAAACATCTTCCTCTCCCTCTACATCAGCGGTTTTCAAAGTGTTAGGCGCGCCTCCCTGGGGGGGGCCCCAGAGAGCTTCAGGGGAGGCGTAGCGTGAGAACAAAATAACGAGAAAAAGATGAGTCAAGTGTCACTTGCACACTTTTGGCTGTCTGTGGAGACCGAGTTCCCCCACCTCGCCAAAAAGGCTGTTAAAGTGCTCATTCTGTGTGTTCTGGAGAATCACAGAACGGCCGGTCGTCAGCGGGCCGTTGACGGCCGGCTCGGTTCGCTGACGGCAGGCAGCGCCCTTTGTTTTTAAGGCATCATTCAAGTCATTCAAGTTGCGCTGACAGGTGACAGAGGTCCGTTCAGCGGGCCGTTTCCACGCTCAAAGTTGTTGTAAATGTTAAAAAAAGAAAAAAAAGAAATGCAAAACATAAAGATAAAAAGGTTTTAAAAAGTTAATTTTTTTAATGTTTTAAGGAGGTGACGCTACTCAGCCAATCAAATCGGTGCAGTCAGTGAGTCAGCACGATAGATTCAAACACGCACACAGAGACGAGACAAGAAGAGAGAAACAGTCGGAGTAACTTCAAATGGCGTGCTCACAAAAGAGAAAGGTAGACAGCGAAAACAGAGCATATTTAATGATACTTTCTCTTACTGGACCTCTTTGAGATGCAATTTAATACCCCTGCATTATAGCAACAACAAAAATAATAATAATAATAATAGC